TTAATTGCTAATTTGCAATGATCATCCGTGCAAATTTTTAATTTAGATTGTCATTATAGATGATTTCTATGTCATAAAGACGCTCAAGTGATGCTCAAATGAAAAAAAAAGTAAGTTTCTTTTGTCCTCTTTTCTAAAAGAGTCACTTTTATGTGCAGTGACAACAAACAAATATATATATATATATATATATATATATATATATATATATATATATATATATATATATATATATATATATATATATATATATATATATATATATGTGTGTGTGTGTGTGTGTGCGCGCGCGCGCACGCTCTCTGTTTTGTAGCTGGCCGTAGAATAAGTTATTCTGTGACCAGTTTGAGTTACGATAATTACTATACTAATTTACGAGATTATGGTAACTTCCTTATAAGTGATTTACTATAGCATTATGGTAAGTATCATCTTGAATTATAGTGACCCATATATCGTAAATGTGTATTGTCATTATCGTAAATTGGTATAAACATTATCGTAAATCAAGGTGGTCATAGAATAAGTTATTCTGTGGCCAGCTGCAGAATATTCTTACCTATATATATATATATATATACGTACTGTTCTGTAGCTGGCCACAGAATAAGTTATTCTGTGGCCACTTTGAGTTACGATAATTACTATACTAATTTACGAGATTATGGTAACTCTCTCATAAGTGATTTACTATAACATTATGGTAAGTATCATCTTGAATTATAGTAACCCATGTATCGTAAATGTGTAATGTCATTATCGTAAATTGGTACAAACATTATCGTAAATCAAGGTGGCTATAGAATAAGTTATTATGTGGACATGGAGAACCATATGTGAGAATCCTCTCAAATTATCTTTCTCTACCCAAAACAAGAAATAAAGTATCCAATGTGTTGAATTATTGATGAATTAGAAAATATACATTGAGGAAATATTAGTGAAAAATATATCATGCATCATTACTGTATTGCTCCACCACGTCATGAAATTTCTCAAATTAGACAAAGCCCCTATGAAGAAAGCAATGCTCGTGGCCCACAAAGACAAATAGCGCAACATGTGAGTACGAGTTTATAAGCCGTGGCACCACCTTTGTGCTTATGCTAGCTATGTGTTTTATGCACCAAGTATATATTGGTTAGGAATAGGCAAGGATCTCTGTGATTGGTACTAATTCCATAAAATAAACCCTAGGACATTCTTGCCTAAATAACCGTGTGTAGTCTACTATTTTCTACGGAGTACCTACTATTCTCACTAATTACAATGATAGTTGTGAAAATAAGCAACCAAAATACATGTTCGTGGGTTGTTTTGTAGGGAACAATAAATCTTGTGGTATAAATTCCACTCGAACACCTCTCAGACCAAAGCGCCTCCTTGCCCCTAAAAGCTCCTCTCTTCTCTCCCCTTTGCTCCTAGCTTCAAATCTTGCAAGAGTTTGAGTTGAGAGAAGCGATTTGGTGAGAGAAACATTGATTCAAAGCTTAAGCACTTGACTTCTTCAACAAGCCGGCTGGATTTGCGTTTGTTACTCTTCGACAGCCACTTGATTCAAAGCGATCTTGAAAAGTTTGTATCACCCTTAATTTTCTAGTGAAGATTTCAAGTTGACCTTTGTGGTTCCTGAGAGAGGTAAGAAGGTGAAAGAAACTTCAACCTTAGTGGAGTGGGGAAAGGTGGTGGAGAGAGAAGGGACGTAGGTGCTCCTTAGAGGGGCAATCGAACCTCGAGATAAATCCTTGTGTCCCACGTGTTTTGTTACTGTTGTGATTACTTGTTCTTCATTGTCTCTCTCCCTCAAGCTTTTTCTTAGGTTTTGGCCCCAAACTATAGGTGCTCCAAGGGCAAGGGAGTACCACATCACCTTCATCTACATCTCAGAAAATGGGGTAAAACTTAGACCCGATTTTGAAGCTCTTTATCTCTAATTTTGTAGCTCTCCTGTAGGGGTCGATACTATCGACGCTTGACATCAGTACCACTGACAGACGTCGGTACTACCGACGGTTGCTGACTTGCTGTATTGAAGATTTTTTCTAGGCCTATTCATACCCCACTCTAGACTTAGCAGGGATCCTTACAGTATTAGCATTATATCTCTAAATATATTTATTATAATGATATATTCTATATCTAATCTAATGATATTTTTGTCTTGAATGTTAGTATTTCTATATAACTTTAGCCAAATTTCACTCCACAAAATGTGAGAATTGCATCCTTTCATGTATAGAGGGAGTAAGAGCATCTCCAGCAGTTCCCCAATAGGACTCCCGATCCCCATAAAACTGTCATATTGGGGGAGATGAGGCCAATTTCTTACTCCAGCAGTTCCCCAATATGACCCCTTTTTTTGGTAGCCACCAAAAAACAACACATCTCCCCTCAAACGAAGGGGGAGTTCCTTCTCCCCCAATAAGTTGGGGCCACCCCAACTGTCACTTTTTCTCTCCCTCTCGCCTCTCTCTATCCCCCGTCGAGCCATGGCGCTGCCCATTGTTTTCCTAAACGGTAAACGGTCTTTACACGGTCGTTCTTCGTTTAGCGTTTAGACTGTTTACATGGTATTTAAACGAAGTTAAACGGTCTAAGCGGTTTTGTACTTTTAAAAAAATGCATATAATTATATATGTGCATGTAAAAAAATCAAGTATTTTAGCATTTATACATATTTATCCGAGTAAAAATCAATTATTTTGGTATGTATATATATTTATGCATGTGAAAAGAACCAAATATAGATATTTATGCATGTAACATATCAAGTGTACACATTTATAAATATAAAGTGTACACATTTATAAATATAATAAACTTAAGTATACAAATTTATCCATACAAAACTGAACTAGATTTACCTCGTGTTCGCCTAAACAGCTGTAGCCCGTTTAGACCGTTTTTCCCATTTTTTGACCGTTTAAACGGTCAACCGTTTAATTTCCGTTTACCCCCTAAACAAAACGGTTTACCACCGTTTACCGTTTAGTGGTCGTTTAGACCGTTTAGGCGAACACTGGCGCTGCCCCTACCCGTTTGAGCCGTGCCGGAGAAGAAGGGGAGAAGGGGATTCGGAGGCATGCCGAACAGCTAGACCCGCCGGAGCTGTGCCGCGCCTCGGCCTGATGGAGACGTGCCGGAGAAGATGAGATCCAGCAGCTGAGCGCGTCGCTCCCTGCCTTCCCCGCATCCCTTCAGCCTCCGCTCTGCGCTCCGCCTACGCCCTAGGCGGCTCGGCTAGTCGCCGTTTGCCCTCCCGCCACGGTGCCACCCGCTGCCTAGCCCGGCAGCGCCCGAGCCCCAGTGGTGGACACCCCGGCCCCGCTCGGCTGCTGCAGGAGCAGGCGAACCGCAAACAGGAAGTTTGGAACATCGCGGGATCCTGCGGCACTGGCCATGTCGCGCGTCGGGAGGAGGACGAGGGAGAGGAAAGGGAGAAAAAAGATAAACTGACAGGTAGGACCCACTGTATTGGTGATGAGTATTGGGGAACCGCGGGAGGAACACCCCTAATAAAACATAAAAACAGTATTGGTGCCCACCAATATTGGGGGAGATGGATTGGGGAGATGCTGGAGATGCTCTATTATGAAGGACATGTTTGGTCTACGCCTGTGCGTGCCATGCCACGGCCGCGACTGTGCCAAAATTACGACGAGCTTTCTATTCGCCAAACGTTTGGCCGTCAGTGGCAAGTAAAATGAACTAACGCGCTATGGTTGCGTTGCAACACGCCGTAAGTTCGGCAACGAACCAAACGGACGCATAAGCTTAGGCGCGAGAGCTGTGGCACGTTCTGGCGAACCAAACACGCCCTAATGATGAAACCACGAGTCTACGGCCTGTTCGTTTCGGCTGAAACGATCGTGGATTATTACTGCTGGCTGGTTTGATGTGAGAAAAAATATTATTCTAGCTTATAATTCACGATCGTTTACGACAAGCGAGCAAGGCTGCTAGTGTGATTGCGTTTTGTCATCTCTCCTCTCTCCTGTCTCTTGTGTTGTGCACACCTATGTTGACTGATTAGTGATTAGTACCCATACTTGTCTGTCGTCTTACAAGACGTCATCCGGTCATCCCAATTCCCATGGAACTAGCTGGTGGTTAATCCGTACGAGTAGCGGATGAGCAGGACCCATCACCCATGCCAGTGGCTTCTGGCTAATCTAATCATCGTACAACGGCTCGGAGTTGATAGATCGCGGCGTGGATGCAGAACCTTGTGTCCGGGCCAGCGTCGTTTCATCCCGACTCGAATGCAGATGCAGTCGCCTGCCTATGAGGGCCCTTTATTCAAATCAGTCGAAGGCTTTGCCTAGCAGGGCTCGAGCAGTCGGACTTGCTGTTCGCGGTGGACAGCCGCCGTCGTGGCCTCGTGGTAGAGCAACGGGTCGGCCAGGTTGGTCGGTTTTAATGGAGGGCGTCGGGCGTCCCATATGGCCCATTGGTGGCATCCAGAACCGATCACGAGCACCCACACAAAAAGGCAGCAGCCAATGCCGCCCTTCGGCTCCGTGTGCCGACACAAATGGCTGCAGGTGCACCGGAGGACGTCCGTTGCTGCTTCGATCCTTCAGCGCGGCTTGAGATACTCCTACTTCGACTGCAGCGAACCGTTAATTTCTTGCGCTAGTAATCGTGCAGTAACAAAGGGGACGTGCTACAGGATGCAACGGCCGCACGTGAAACTAGTAAACGACAACGAGATGCTGGCGCCAAGAACACCGACGGTGCGTGCGGCAGGTCCACGACGAACAAGCATCGCTGGTCAGTCTCATGATCTGGGAGAGATTTCATCCATGGTTGTCAAGCCCTCTGTCAAAATGTAACCCCATTGGTACGCAATTCAGAATTAGCTTGCCCTCAGTTTTCAAGTACAGGGAAAGAAGAGCCCCTCCTCTCCCGTAATCGAATCCTAAGCTATCGAATTCGAACCCTTACAATCACCGATCGACCCAATGCCACACCAAGCTACGCCGTCGACGAACGCCTACTCAGTCGAGCGCGTCGCAGCGGCGCCTGACGACGCCCTGGCGGCCGGTCTTGACGCCGACGGCGCCGAGCCTCTGCATGGCGGCGGCGAAGTCCTCGAAGAAGGCGGTGCGGTTGGCGGCGTACCGCTGCGCGAACACCCGGGTGGGCGGGTACTCCCAGATGGCGGCGTCGGAGGCGAGCAGGCCCAGCCCGTGGGGCAGGTTCTTGTAGTAGGCCTCGTCGAAGTCCCGGGGCGTGACGATGTCGTTGAAGATGGAGACGGTGGGGTCGGTCCGGTACCCCGCGCAGGAGCGCTGCAGCGCGCGCGCGAACTCCGGGTTGAGCCGCGGGTCGTGGCCGGCGGCGCCCCGGTAGCCGTAGATGCGGTGCGCGAACTCGGCGCAGTGGGAGAATCCCACGGTGTGGGCCCCCGCCAGCGCCACCATCTCCCGGGGCGTGAGTCCCTTGCCCGCGAAGAGCCGCACCATGGCGCGCGCCGACATGTTGGTGCGGGGCAGGTTGCCCTCGACGTCGCGCGCGTCGGAGCGGGCGGAGTCGCGGCGGCCCAGCGCGACGGGGAACCGGGGCCCGCCCAGGATAGCCACGAGGTCCCGCGCCGCCAGCGCCAGGACGTCGGCGCAGGAGACCACGCCGGGGCAGGCGGACTCCAGCGCCGCCTTGGCGCGGCCCACGGCGTCGAAGGCATCCCCGGGCAGGGAGAGGTTGATCTCCGCCGCGCGCTCCGGGGCGGCGGAGGAGAGCGGGGAGACGAGGACGGAGGCGTCGCAGCCGTTGACGAAGCAGTCGTGGAAGAAGAGCCGCAGCGTGCCCGCCGCCGTGGACGGGTTGGCGCGCTGCTTGGCCGCGATGACGTCCGACACGATCCGCTCCACGCGCGGGCAGCTGTGGCGGTAGTAGTTGGGCGACAGCCTGGGCGCCTTCGCCGCCGCCCCCGCGCAGCAGACAGCGAGGAGCGCGAGAGACAGCAGGAGGCGGCGGCGGAGCAGCGGCGCGCCCATGGGCGAAAGCTAGCTTGGTAGTGTGAGAGAGTAAAGGCGACGGCGGCGGTGAGATGATGGTGGTGCGTGCCCCTGGCTGGCTCGATTTGGGAGGGGAGAGAAAGAGAAGGGGAGGTGGGGTGGGGGATTAGTGACGGAGTGAATTGATTGCGGGGTTTAAGGGGGGAGGGAGTGCGGTGCGGTGCGCAAGCGGGACGCGGTGGTTGTTTGGAAGCTCGAGGCGGCAGGAGCTGGTCGACGGACGGATGTTGTGCTTGTGCGTTTTTGCATTTGTTTTCTCTAGCTGCCAGCTGCGGTAGACTACAAGATATAGATAGCGTTGTTTGGTGCAATGGTTGAAGTCATTGTCCTATCGGATGTTTGATATAGGTATAGAGTATTAAATATAGATTAATTATGAAACTAATTGCATAGCTTACGGCTAATTTGTGAGACGAATCTTTTAAACCTAATTATTCTATGATTTGACAATGTAGTGCTACAGTAAATATTTACTAATGCCGGGTTAGTTAGGCTTAATAAATTCGTCTCGTCGGATTCTGTAATTTATTTTTTTATTAATATCCAAACACCCCATACAACACCCTCACGTGACACTTCCTAAATTTTAGTCACCGGATCAAACACCTCCTAAAAATCAACACTCATGGCATCAGTTGTGATTTGAGTCCTATCGCTGAGTCGGAAAAAAAAATCGGTCCTTTCGCTCTCGCTCTACGGACGTGTAGTAATTTCAGAAGCTATTTCCCAGGAGAAACAAGGGCCAGCAGCACTGAACTTTTCTTGCAGTGCAGAACCGGCAGTGTTCGGCTGAGCGAGAAGCCGGCTTATGCGGCTGGTTTTTTCAGCTAAAATAGTAATTTACTCTACCAACAAATCAACATAAACAGTGTTTTTTCGGTCCAGTCGAACACTGTTCCGTTGTCATTCCATATGGCTGGCCCTTTCTCGGTTTATGGCGAATCGTGGTGAGGACCAGGCGACACAGACAGGAGCAGCAATAAAGCGGAGTGGCTCCAACGTACCAACCGTGTCTCGTGGCCACAGGGCGCGCAACAAATTTTGGCCTGGAGCCATAGGCATCCGAGCCGGCCGGGCTTACGCGTAGGAGCCCAAGCACATGCACGACGGGAGCGCACTGCGCACCCACTGAAAGCCGTGGCATGGAGCAGTGGCGGTTCCATTTCCATCTAGAGAGCTTCCGTCCAAAGCAGCATTCTTTGCGTGCCTTTAGGATAGCCGCGGTCCGTTTGAATCGTCAGAATTAAATTCATTCTAATAATTATAATTTAGATATAGATTAATTAAATTAATATAGTTATCAGATTTAATCCTTCTCAGTCAGCCTGATTTTTTGCTTATCTATAAGTCACCTGCATCTTCCCTCCCCTTCCGTTGCTAGCAGCACACCCCCACCGCACGCGGCACGCAATGCTGCCGCGCCACCGTCGCTTCACGCACCATGCGCTGCCGCCGCCCGCCAAGCTGCTCCACGCACCACCGTTCGTCACTCTTTCGTGCCCTGCATCACTCCCTCCCGTTGCACAGGTGAGCAACGCCTCCCATCCATCGCGAGGTCGACCGCTGCCACCGCCACTACCTCTTGCCCGGCAGCCCGGAGCTCGCTGGACACACCTGCGCCGCCTGGAGCTTCAAGCTCGTCATCCGTCCCAGTGCCGTCCAGAGCCGCGAGTCGATGGCCGAGGCCGACCCTAGATCCGGAGCCAGCACGTCGATGACGACGGCAAGCGTCACCTGTAGGAAGAGGTGCTCGCCTTGAGGGAGCTGTGCAGGAGCTCTGGAGCAGCGAGGTAAGCAAGGACTAGCGCGAGGTTGAAGAAGATGCGATGAGCGGTGCGAGCGCGAGGTTGACGCTGTGAGTCACCTGACGCCGAGATAGTTATATATCGAATATATTTCTATATTTATTGTAAGGCTTGTGGAAAATACTTATATGTTTTATTTTTATTATAGAGAAATAAGTTGAAGAGTGTGCTATAAATTGAAGAATAGAATTATAGCATAGTGATTTATAGAATCCATTTCCATATCCTACCCTATAAATTTGAGATAGGCTTATTCGTGAGCATGAGAATATTATGGAATGTCAAATTCCAAGCCAAATAGTCTAATTCATTATGTAGATTTCAATTTCTCCAAAATAAAGAGATCCATACAGCCCCTAAGAGTATCCTAATTTTTTCTCCAAAAAACTTCATGTTTTCCAACTTCTTAAAAGATGTTGAGAGAAAAGAAAAAGACCCTCTTCAATTCACTTCTAAAAAATAAAATTTGGACCCACTTGTTTTTTTTTGTGGTACTTTTTTCCCGCGCGGCAGTAATCGTGGTCGTGCAAAGCTACGCCGCCGCCGCCGCCGCCGCCGCCGCCTTCCTTCGTCGTTCCTTGGCTAGAGACATGCCATCAGCAGGCAAGCAGCTAGCAGCAGCAGGCAAGCCGGTGGCCAGAGACACGCCATCAGCAGGCAAAGGCACGGCCGGCCACACGCAGACATGGCCAGAGACAGGGACGCGGCACAGAACACAGGGAGCCGTGGGGGTTCCGCACACCGGCCACGCAAGGAAATCCAAGGCCCGCCGGCGGCCACGAAATCCCCCTCAGGACGACGCCGGCGGCCACGAAATACTCCTATGGACGGCAGCATAAGATGGCGCGAAGGGAGAAGCCGCGCCAAAATGACGGGGCGAAGAAAAAAAATTCGCCCGGGGATGGATGCGCACGAGCAGAGCGACGCGTAACTTTACGTAGTTTGGGTAGGTTTTTCCCAAGTGCTGAAAGATTGAGATGATGGATTGTGAGTTGTTGGAGATAGGTTTTTTTCAATCTTGCTTAAAATTAGGATTAGGAAGGCTTTAGATACTCTTAAAGATGCTCTTATGCTTACAGTCATGGTACCTGGGTAAGTACTTTAGCAGGAGTACTCTAAACCATCAAGAGCACGGACAAGTTGGTCCTTCGGTTCCATTAGTGCAGTGCACCGGTTCCAGCAAAAGAAAAGCCCAGCAGCAGCGGCGACGCCTACTGTCCAGTGGAGAAAATCTCAGAAATGTGGAAACCAGCCAACGGCCACCACCCATATGCCATACGGCGCATCCGGCGAGACACGCGGCGCAACGGGCCGGACGGTACCGCCACCCGGTCCGCGGATACGGCGAGCGCGCTGCGTGCGCGTTGGGTTTGCGGGTACTCCCAGCTGTCCCGGTCGCTCGCGGCTCGCGCGAGCGCACTTGTTCTCGCCGGCCGGGAAGCCAAGAAGCATCCACCTCCGTCGTCCTCGTCCGTCCCTCTCCGATCCTGCTAGCGCACAGCTGGGTATCCGATATTGTTATTGCGTCGTCTTTCCCTTTCGTAGAGCCATGCACACGGTTGCACCCCTGCCGCGCTGGGTATGGCACGGACAGGGGCGACGCGGGGAAATCACAAGAGGACAGGGACAGCGACGCTTGCGTCGGAGTTTGGGAGGGAAATCCTTTGCGCGCACGCTTCTTTAGCGTTCAGGGTTCACATGCACGCCTTGCACGACCGTCAAGATGCCGTCAGTACACATTATCAGCGGGTTCTGAGTTTTGACCCTGCATGGACATGGACGACGGATGCAGTTCCACGACCGTCAAGATGCCGTCAGTACACATTATGGGCGGGTTTTGAGTTTTGACCCTGCATGGCAGCATGGACAAGGACGACGACGGAGGGCCGGACCCAGGGCAGGCACAACCGCACAACGGACGGTCCAGGTCTTTCGACAGCTGGTGACGCCGCCAGCAGGTGGTGCACAAACAGTGATACAGCTCACGACGATGGGCCAAGGCGCGCCCAGGCGCCTGGCCACAGGAAGGATAGGATAGGCATACGCTAGCTGGCTGATATGCATACGCATAGAAATACATACAGGTGATGACAAAAGTCCCGAGCTGACCGAGGACGGGAAATGAATTGCTCTGCTCAGCTCTGCTCAGGGGACCAGCTGAGCTGACCGACCCCGGGCCGCGCATACGTAAGTACATCACACATGACACACATGTAAAGACAAAATGCCTTGCCTGTATATATACGTACATACACCGATATAAATCTGCATATGCATGTACTCCGTTTGAGTTTTGACGCGTCGGTCTCAGAATTAACGAAGTGGCCTACTGGCACGTGCTTCTGGGCTGGGATTTCCGGAGCGACACGGCCAGGCAAACCTCCGCCACCCACCCAGTCCAAGAATCCATGGCTCCATGCGCGTCTGACCGTTCCGCGTCGTCTCGTCGCGGGCAGCTGTGCGGCCGTTGCTGGACCTTTTGGGAGAGATGCTGCAGCGCGCAGGTGGGCTTACTCCTATACTAGCGTGAGCGCAGGGACGGGCCGCGGACCGGCGGACGAGAGCCCGCGATGTGGGCAGGCCCCCAATTCATATGGACAGGATATGGGCTTTCAAGTAGAGGATCGATCCAGCTCCTTCATCACTGGTTCTGTCTGTTTCCCTCGACCATCCTTCGCCGGTGCTGACTGGTGAGCGGTGACCACTGCGGAGTCCATCGACTCTCGAGACTCCTTGCCACCTTGGTCCCGGGCTCCCGGCCCCCGTGTGGTCGACGTGTGTGTGTGACCTGCGTGACACCGATTCGAATGCAACCCACACCACACCAACTGAAAAGTGGAAAAGGGATTTGCTATATCCTAGGTGCCTCCGATATATACCCTGTTCGTTTGGGTTTATTTGGCTTATAAATCGTACTTTTTCAGTCAACGAATAATACTTTTCTCTCACACTAAATCAGCCAACAGTACTTTCAGCCATGACTTATCAGCCAAACAAGGCCAAACGAATAGGGCGACAGACTTTTCTTTAGGAGACAGCTATAGAACATCACGTGTATACTATGCGAACATCATAAAATACATCATATAACATTACATGCACACTACGTGAACATCACCACACGTCGCCTGAACACAAACACAAATTCAGGCGACTGTCGTATGTATGTGAACA